CACGGAGATGTTGGATTTATGGGTTGCGCAGGCATTGGCGGACAAGATTCTTCTGACAGGCGAGGTGTTGCGGCAGAAATGGACAAAGTTTGCTGACTTGGCCGGGATCCCGCAGGATGATCGGTTGAACCTCAGCGAGGGATGGTTGTCCAGGTACAAGATTCATCTCGGGCTGAAGCAGTACAAGCGTCACGGTGAAGCTGCATCTGCCAGCAAAGAGGACGCGGAGAGGGACCGAAAGCGAATCCAGGAGCTGATTGCGGAGTACGGCTACGAGCTGCGCGACATCTTTAACATGGACAAGACCGGTCTCTTTTATGCGTACGTACTTTGCTTCACTTTTCTGTGTTGCTTACTGAGTCTGACTCCTGTGAAAAGTCTTCCGCCCGATCGAGGACTTGCAGACAAGAAGCACTCGGGAGTAAAAGGCAGGAAGGTCCGACTCACCTACGCGTTCACGTCGAATGCCGATGGTTCAGAGAAGTTGCCGCCGTTCATCATTGGAAAGGCCTACCGACCAAGGGTTTTCAAGAAGAAGACGGGCCCGCAGCTTGGCTTTTATTACCGTCACAACACAACAGCTTGGATGACCACGGAGCTGTATCAAGAATGGATCTTGCAGTGGGATAAAGACCTCGGGAAGCAGAAGCGCAAGGTAATGCTTCTTCAAGATAACTTCTCGGGGCATACTGCTCCGGATAACGTGGAGAATATTCGAGTTGTCAATTTCAAGCCCAATCTCACGGCACACGTCCAGCCAATGGACCAAGGCATCATCCGGTGCTTCAAAGCACATTACCGCGGGAAGTACATTCAGCGCGCGGTTGATCGCTATGACCTGAACGTTACCCCCTCCGAAATCTACGACATCGATCAGTTAGAAGCGATGAGACTTGCAGAGGCCGCATGGCAAGAAGTGGATACAACGACAATTCGTCACTGCTGGCGCAAAGCTGGTATATTGCCGCCGGCTGGTGTAAATTGTCCCCGTGCAGCTCCCTCTGTACCCATTGGGTCTCTCCTTAACGACGTTGAAGTCAGCGGGAATCCAATCACGGCCGCGGAGAAAACTGTTGTAGATGCCCTGGACGACCTTACTGCCAGGGGTGTTCTCCGGAGGGACAATCGAATGGATATTGAAAATCTTCTCAATCCGGTGGAGGAGGGTATCGAGGCTATCATGGAGAGCACGGAGGAGGAAATCTACGCAGCCGTTATCAAGTCTCGAACAGCGCAGGAAGACGCGATCATCAACGGAGGTGATGATGATGTTGACGATGACACAGCTTTTCATCCCGGGCCAGGTCCCACTTACAACGAAGTCCTCCAAGCTGCCGCCGTCATTGAGAGCTATGTACGCGACACCAATGACCCAGATGCGCGCAAGATGGAATCTTTGTTAGCTAGTTTCCGCCGTCAACTTCGCTTGGACAGGTCTCGTGCGACAGTCCCCACCTTGATTACTTCTTACTTCACTAAATAGTTTATATTTGCTCATACTACATCTAGTAACACTTCATGTATTAGCTACTACGTCGTGTCTCTACATGGTGTACTCGGGCACTTGAATTTTTTTGACGACCGATGGGCGCTTATCGTGGGAACTTCCTCGTAACCCATAATCCCCATAACCCATACCTTTTTGTGTCCACGGAGGGGTATGGGTTATGAGAGAGTCGACTGTAATATGATTCAGGCATACGTGCCAGCTCTTTCTCTTCTCGACATGACTATGTTCACCAATTTCAACAAGGTCTGGAACAAAGCGCATCGTGACTATAGTAGTGCGTTGTTTGATCCTGCTGTTTTATGTTATGTTTTACTGATAACACCCTTGCTCCGTGTCAATTTTCTTTGATTGTGGCATTCCTGTGCCACTCTCTTTTCTTGCAGTTAACGGGTAAATTATGAGAGGCCGTATAAGCATGACTATGATCAAACGCGACGGCCATCACGAATGCGCTGCGCACTGCAATAAGGCGGTGGGCTTCCAAGGCTAAGAGAATGTCGCACTACGCTTCAGACGGTATATGATCGATCCTAGTTTCCTTGTCCTTGGCATCGTCCTGAAGGCGGTGGGTCAAGCCCCCGAGAAAGGGCCATATCAATGTTTCTAACACCGGGATGTTGTATGTCGCACGTTTCACTGCCCTGTCTCTGATGCAAACGAGACTTGTAGGATATATGGGTCCCTGTAGTACCGGAGATCGCCCCATACAATTGGCGATTGTATGTCTCGCACTCCTGTTCCGGATTCGCCACTGATAATTACTCACTGCCTCAGCGATCGCAGGACCACGGTGGTAAATGGTACTTTCTGCAAGAAGTCGGTCTGTGGGCAGCTTCCTCGACCCTCTCTGCTGGGGTGTTACCAGCGGTCTTTGACTAATGCAAGTATACCTGGGTCGCATTCTCTTCACCTCTGATTATAGCCAGCAATGATGCTGCCGACCTCCGGTGGCACAGTGTCTGAGACACTTGAAGAGTGATTCATGTGGGCCTACATGGTGAGACTCCGGCTGTGCAGATCCCGCAAATGCGCAGTGGTTGTTTTATAGCAACATGCAACAGAAAATTTTCCTGGGAGCAAAACAGCACGTACATCGAGGAAGATAACACAAAACTATATAAAGGACCCGACTGCAGCCCCAACAACCCAGGTTCGCCTCTAACGTTCACTTCCTCCCCCCTCTTGCACTCATCACTGAGTTTTTCCTTACACTCAACTGATGATGTCTTGCAAAGCGACTCTGGTCACCGTAGCTCTCGCTCTCCTCGTGTCGTCTACTCCCTTGAAATCGGATAACGGCATTTCTGTGCCTCTTCATAAGCGTAGCTCGCTTACAAACGAGGATGGTACCTTCGCATACGGGAGGGCGGTCGAGGAAACCGTTGCTGCCCACAAGTATGTTTCTATTACCTTGGCCATACTCTGCTGTGTTCAATATTCTCTCTGTATAGCAAATATCAGATGAACGGGCAGATTTTTTTGGCCAACCTCGGCAAACTTCCAAAAGGCTTCACCCAGCTCCCTCTCCGCCAGCTGCCTGACAATCTTAAGCGCGATACTGGCTCGGTGTCTCTGACCGACGAAGAGGACGGTTCTCTGTGGGCAGGCACGATCTCCATCGGCACACCCGCACAGAAGTTCGTCGTCGACTTTGACACCGGCTCGTCGGATCTATGGGTCCCGAGCTCGACGTGCACGGCCTCAGTCTGCACAAGCAAGCACCAGTACAGCGCCAAGTTGAGCAACACCAGCAAGCACAAGAATGGCACATTTTCGATTCGTTACGGCGGCGGTGACTCCGTGTCTGGTCCTATCTATAGTGAAACAGGTATGGTGCTGGGTCTATGTTGCGCAGAAAAACTACTAAAGTTGGTTGGAATGTAGTGGCTGTCTCTGGTATTTCGGTGACCGGCCAGGCCTTCTCGCCAGTGACCACCCTCGCTAGCAACTTGCCCGTCGATGGCATATTCGGTTTGGGGTATCCCTCCATTTCTCAGTTGAAGCAGGTAAACTGAACGTGTCGCGCATTTTTGGCGGTCTTATGCACTGAACTTCGATCCACAGAATCCGTGGGTCAACAGCGCCAAGTCCCAGGGTGTTCTCGACTCCGCTGTCTTTGGCTTTAAGCTCGCTACCAACGGCTCTGAGCTCTTCCTCGGCGGTACCAACGAGGCACTCTACAGCGGCGATATTGAGTATCACTCTATCGATACCTCCAACGGTTTCTGGCAGGCGACTGGCGGCAGTGTTGTCGTTGATGGCAAGACCGTTGTCTCCGGCCTTGAGACCATTATCGACTCTGGGACGACGCTCATTTATGGTCCTCCCGCCTCCGTTGCGAAGCTGTATGCAGCCATACCGGATGCCAAGTTGTTCGACTCCACCAACGGGTTCTATTCGTTCCCTTGTGCAAGTATACCGTCGGTTGGATTCAGCTGGGGAGGTAAGACATGGTACATCTCTGCCGAGAAGTAAGTGGGCCGCCTAGTGTGCTTGTGTGGACATGCGATGCTGACTGAGTTTGTAGCTTCAATCTTGGTACCACTGCACAGGGCAGTGATCAGTGTGTGGGTGCTATTGGTGCGCAGGAATTCGGATTTGGCAACAGTGTCTATCTCGTAGGAGACCGGTCAGTATTGTCTTGTGTCTGCAAAGAGCCCATCTGACACCCAATTCGATGCAGCTTCATGCAAAACGTGTATACTGCGTTCTCGTTTGAGGATGAGAAGGTTGGATTTGCTGTTTTGTCATGATGTTCTATTTGTTACTGTGTAGACTTGGATCCGGACAGCTGTAGTATCAACTTGTAGAACATTGTGTATCATAGTAGTGTACGTGACACCTCTCGTACTTGCAACTCGGACAATGGTCATTATTTATTTGAACTGACAAAAACTGGTCATCTTGTCTAATTTATGAATCACCCACATATCTGAACATACAATATACAAACGAGCTTGATTGATGTCACATGGATTTGCTGGATACCAAGTCCAGGTGCGTTATGTGTGCTGTGATGAAGAAATATGCATGGATCGGATAGCGTAATAGTATATGCTTTATGGCAGTCGGTATGCGCATGCTTCAGGGGCGCTCAGCAGCAACACGGTATCGGGATGATGTAGCAGCAACCGCCGTCCTGAGACTCAGAGTCAGATACCCACGGCGGGCAGCATGTATGGAAAACACAAACGTACAGGACAAGGTATACAACCTCCTCTTATGCGCTCTGCGCGTTGCTCTTCAGATTGAGCCTCGGTGGCACGGCTAAGCGACATGCTCTGGGTGGGTTTGGGCTGGGCAGCATGGACTTGGCCTGCACGAGGTGTCGCGGTGTATGTGGCAGGCGGGTAGGCAAGCTGAGCTGGAGACATGGTGGATGAAAGGTGAGTCGAGGTAGCGGGGGCTTGTTATATAACACAGCAGCACTCCATGACGTCAGTAATCAGCCAAGAAGGTATTGTGATCGCAGCTATCGTCGATTGGTAGAGGCTCAATGGTCTAGTCGTATGATTCCTGCTTTGGGCAACATGACTAATTGCAGGAGGCCCCGGGTTCAAATCCCGGTTGAGCCCTTTTTCTCTGGGAAGTTACAAGACTCCCGTCTTGTGCATTTCGTCTGGGTATGCAGACCCAAAACACTTGCCAGTAAGTACGTACTGCTACCCCTCCATTCTCATAGAGCCTCACGGAAATACGACGGCCGTGCTAGCGATCTTCTGTATCTCACGCGAGACACGACTCTAATTATTCACCTGACGAGCAACAAATCGCTCCTGTAGCCCTCGCTGTCTCTGAAGCTCATGCTCGTGTCGCGATTGTCCGTTTTCTTGCATAACCAGCTATGTTGCGCCATATGTTTTGTTCCACAGACTCACTGGCACGCTTAGGTCATCTACCCTGCAGGGAAAGCTCCACTTGAATCTCGAGCCGCACCCACAGCACACGCAGCAACTCCGACTGTGGCCACAAAGAACACATGTTTGTGAGAGGACCTCCCACACAATTACAGGTCTAAACGAGAAGCAGCCAAATTGCTCATGCTCATGACAAAACCATACCCACTCCGGCGACGGCTCGTACAGAGTCCCGGGTTCACATATAAAGTGCATCCCGCAGCATAAAATACTACGCACAGTGAGCTCTTCCGACAGCCCTGGCACACACTAGCGTCGCGGTCTCTCCGCGAATCTCAACTATGCTTTCTGCATTCGCTGATACTATTTCTTCGGTGCTCGGTTACAAGCCCGCCCCACACACCAAGACAGATCCCTATCATGCTCTGAACCCATCGTCAGAGGACGCCAATTACCGGCCACCGAACTTCAACATCGATGACTACAGGCCCTTGAAGGTGCGGTGCATAGGCGCCGGCTTCAGCGGGATACTCTGCGCATTACGGTTCGTTGCCATTTTCTCTTGCGGCTGGAACCACGGCGGAGATGTTGCAGTAGTTGAATCACTTTTTTCACTGCAGTTTTAGGCAGAATATCCCACACCTTGACTTCAAAATTTATGAGAAGCAGGCCGGTGTTGGCGGCACTTGGTATGCGAACCAATACCCTGTGAGTAGACAAATATGGCGCTGTCTGTGTCTCCATTGAGCTTACGGATGAATTAGGGTGTCGCATGCGACGTGCCAAGTCATTGTGTAAGTCGATTCTTCGCTAAGATCTACACTGCATTCAACGTTTTACGGAACCTTGTAGTATCAATTCTCCTTTGAAGACCACGTAAGTCCCTGTCTCTTATGTACCTCACACTCGGAGTTGCGCCGAACACCGCACAGTCTCAGTGGTCCAATTTCTACTCGTCCGGGTCCGAGATACAAGCCAACATCGAACGCGTCGTGGACAAGTACAAACTTCGAGAGTACATACATCTCAAACACGTGCTCTCTCACGCCAAGTGGGATGAATCCACCGGGAAATGGACCCTTAGCGTTCGCCGTGGTGCAGACAACGTCGCAGGAGAGTTTGAGGAAACATGCGACATACTGCTGCTCTGCGTGGGCAGCCTGAACCGCTGGCACTGGCCGAACATCAAGGGGTTGAAGGACTTTGGCGGACCAGTGGTGCATACCGCGGAGTGGCTCCTTGATGAGAAGAGCATCGAAGGGAAGAGGGTAGGCATCATTGGCAACGTGAGCTTTGTTTGCTTGGATACAGACCCGTTCCCCAAATCGCGGAAATTGATAAGTGGACGGGATGCTATAGGGATCTTCGGGAATTCAGGCTGTAGCAGCTGTTCATCCCAAAGCTCTCAGGCTCGTCAACTATGTTCGTCAAAAGACATGGATTGCACCCGACTTTTGTGTCAACGAAACACGGGCCCTGTTGGGAAGAAAGCCAGATGACGATAATCGTGAGTAGACCGTACATTAAGTTTTCCGTGTGCGAGGTATCTATCACAGAACATATGTAGAAGTTTTCACGGCTGAGGAGCTCCAGAAGCTGAAGGATCCACATAACGCCAGGGATTTCAGGCATGCTTTAGAACACAACATGAATGTAACGTCCTTCAACGGCATGTTGGAACGATGACATTCTGACGTTTAACCTCACCAGGTCTTCCACGCGGTCTCACTGCGCAATTCGGACATGCAGCAGCAAACCAGAGCAATGTTTGAGGCTGACATGAAGAAACATTTGGCCAAGAAACCCGAGCTGTTCGAAAAGAGTGCGTCACGCATCAGAATATCGGCTGATTTCTTGCTAAATGCTGACTCGCCCCGCCTCGCAGTTTTACCTGACTTTTCTGTCTTCTGTCGACGTCTGTCGCCCGGCAACGGGTATCTTGAGGCCTTATGCGCTGATAACGTCAGTATCCCCCATCACACTCAGTATACCGATAGACCGACGACTTGCGCTGAGTACTGCATTGCAGACTACGTACGAAACAACGCCAATCAAGCGCATTACTCGCACCGGCATCGAACTCGAAGACGGCCGCCATAACAACCTCGACGTCATCGTCGCAGCCACAGGGTTTGACGTTTCCTACCATTACCCCTTCGACGTTGTCGGTCGGAATGGCGTAAAACTCAACGACCGGTGGACTCCATACGCGGAAGCTTACCTGTCCATCGCCGTTGACGGTTTCCCGAATCTGTTCCACATGTACGGGCCTGGCTCAGGCCTGAACACGGGCACAATCATCTCAATGTTGGAGAACCAGGCGGTGTACATCTCCAAGTGTGCGATGAAGTTGCAAAGGGAGAGGTTAAAGTGTATGGAGCCCAAAAAGGAGGCGATGAGGGACTGGACGCAGCACATGCGTGTAAGGCAGCTGTCCTCCCTTGTCATCGTTTTCAACTGATTGTTTTCTGCGCTCGGTTACAGAACTACTTCCCAAAGGTATGTGCTCGTTCAGAGAACGGAGGGCGTGAGCATGCTGTCACTGATGTCATGTCCTGCAGACCGTGTACACCGACAAGTGCAATTCATGGTATAGTGCCGATGACGGGACTGTGGTCGGGCTCTGGCCGGGTAAGCTCCTTTCGTCAGAGACAGTATTTATCTCCTGTGCGTGTTTAGGTCACACTGCTATCTCTAGGCAGCAACCTTCATGCTATCAACTCGCTGGCGCACCCTCGCTGGGAAGACTACGAATACGAACGTCTCGATAACACGACTAACAGACTGTTCTGGCTTGGCGACGGCCAGACGGTCAACGAGAATACGATGAAGGGAGATCGTGAGTAGAGGGGAGTCAAATGTTCCGACTGATACTGATATTTTGCCCAGTTGCTTGGTATTTGGAGAAGCCTGATGTGCCACCGATCCCGCAATGAGTTACTTTTGTGTACAACGAATTCAAGGTTCAAGAATGTTGGATATCCAAAGAAAACTTGATTGAGGAGAGGCAAACACAGCCCTCCATTGCTACGTAGACCTTTAGTCTCCAGGTGTAGAGAAATATCCAGTAATAGCGACCAAGTGCAAGGCAACCTCAACACCACTTCCCAAAGTCTGCAACTTACGCGCGAGCGTATGGCCTGATACGGAGCGGCATCTTCCCCTCCATCTTGTTATCATTACCGACGATAACGGGGCGCTGGACAATGGTCGACCTCTTCTTAACCTTGTCTGCAGACACGTCGAGCTCAAACTCGAATGAGCGGACGAGCGTAAATAGCAGCGCCTTCATTCTATACAAGCATGTCAATTGTCGGCAGAGGCGGGCGCAGACGAAATACGCACTCGACGAGGGAAAATCGGTAGCCGATGCATGCACGAGGTCCACCAAGGAAGCTGAGGACGTGTCCGAATACACCAGGGATGGAGGTGATGGTGTCTGGTGGGTTTTCCCAGCGTTCTGGTCTTTGGAGGGTTGTACGTGTGAGTAGAGCGTAGAACTGACAGGGTGACACTGACTTGAACTCCATAGCGTCTTCTCCCCAGTAAGGCTTGTATCGGTTGAGGGCAAGAATCGGGATTATGACACGGTCACCCTTCTGAATTCTGCAGCAATAAATTTAGTAGCGATACGAGCCATTCGTGACTCACTTACTGAATGTGATCCCTCTGCACGCCGTGCTTGTCTGTGTAAGGCGTGCTGCAAGGAATCAGGTCGTCATTCGCCGCGGTACGACTTGTCACTGGCACAGGCGAGTGATAGCGCAAAACCTCCTTGACGACCATCTCGAGGTATGGCAGTGCTTGAAGTTCCTCCATCGTCGGGTTTTCTGTCTGCACCTCGAGTAATTCATTCCGGAGCTTGCGCTGCACGTCGGGGTGCTGCGTCAGCGAGAACAGCGTCCACATTGTTGCGGTGGACGTTGTTTCATGGCCTGCGACGATAAACGTTGGAACCTCTGAACCACCGTCAGATAGGGACTTTTGAGAAAGAAGAGTAGCTCACGTGCGAGAACCTCGTCGTCCGTCAGTCGCTGATTTTCAGGGACATCCGACGCCATGTTTGCCTTGATTAGAAGAGTGAGTAGATCGCGCCCAAGAACGTCCTTCTTCTCGATGTTGTTCTGCCCAGTCGCGGCGAGGATCGATGCCTTTTTTTCCGCAATAAGCTGCAACCCGATACGGCGCAGTGTCATTTGCGCCTCTGCCGACAGACGGTCCCTTCGGGTTTTCTGCGTATCATTAGCAGAGTTGACGCCACTGAATACTTGCAGAGACATACAAAAACACGCAAGAAAGGCATATAGCCTTGCAGTATGGTCAATACTGGGGGTTTACTTTGGGCAGAGAGCACCGTGTTGAAAGCGTCGTTCAACTCATTCTTCTCCCCTCGCAGGGCATCAAAGGTGTAGTTAAAGCCTAGTCCGTGTTAGAGGAAACAGAAATATTGAGGGATAGACCTACCAGCGAGTCCGATAATGTCGAGTGTCGCCTTGCTCAACCAGGACAGGGCATCAACGTGAGCGACGTCTGTACTCGAATTTGTGATCTCTGCAAGCCATCTGTCACGAAGCTAGAGCATGGTCAGCCTATGGCATGGATGCAAGAGTTGGGACGTACCAGTTGCGACTTTTCGACAAAAATCTCTGTCAACTCGCGTACCTGCGCAGGGCCGAATGCAGGGTTCAAGGCTCTTCGCTGTGACCATGAGGTGAGAT